TTGAGACTTGCAACACCTTAAAGCTGGGAAAACCATCAAAATCCAATCCCAACACACATCAAATGTGTGCCTAAATACGGACTTATCACTTCCCTTCACGGCGGGTTACTGCCCCAAACACTAATGAAATGGAATCGGCTGCTAGACACCACAGCTCTCTCATCTCCAGCCTGTCGGAACTTTTTTCTTTCAAATTAAGAGGGGAGAACAGCCAAATGAGACTGAGAAAAGATACATGGAGGGGTGATAATTGGAGTTTTTCCATACATAGCCGAGAAGAGAAAAAACCAGTCATAGGTGGTAGAAGGAAGATAGCTCATAGCTGAATATGCTTCATCGTCCCTAGATTGTTGTCGTCACTAACTTTGTCTCCACGAATCCACCGGCGATGGGAGATTCCCGGTTAAGTGAAGAGGAAATCAAAATGCCCAGGACCTCAATGCTAATAGATCGAGTAAGAAGTCAGAGAGAAGAGATTGGAGGTCTGTTCTTCCTTGCCGACCGTGCCATCTGCACCTCCATTCGCCAGCCGGCCGGCCAACTGTCCCCAAACAAGTATTTGAACGACGTCTTGTTTCATTCGTCCACCTATTCAGGGGCGGAGCCAGAGCACTGGAACGGACTGGGCCGGTACAAATAATTTTTTTAGAAAAAAATTTACACGAAATTTTTTGCCTTAAAAATTAAGCCATTTTTTAAATTTGGGGTGGGCCATGGCCTAGGTTGGCCCACCCCTAGCTCCGCCCATGCACCTATTCTTTTTTATTTTGCTTTTTTTAATATAGTTTTTACCAGTTCAATAGGTTTCAGGTAGCTTGGGATCAATCCGAGAAGATGACATGTGAACTTTGAATTATTTTAGAATTATCCATATTTGAGATTAATATTGGAAGACATTGGGATTATTGATGTGAATTTTTCCTTGATTATATTTTGAAAAGAAAATAATGATACTTCTATTTAAGAGCATTTACTATGTTGTATTCTTATTATGAAAATTTCTCTTTTCCCCTTCAATTTAATTTTAGAAAGTAATTTTAAGGTTCTATAAAAATTAATTGACCTACTTTATATTGTACATAAAATTATGAATAAAAATTGTGTTTATTAGAATATAAACAAATAATAATATCACATACTTCATTTTATACAAATTAGCATTTTCACAGTGTGTTACATTGAAGTGCAGTGGTTAGATAAAGTTGAGTTGGAATTTAAAAATAAATTTACAGAGTAACTTTGCAATTAAAAAAGGGAAAAATAATTAAAATACCCCAAACTTTGAAGGGGTGTGAGGTGAACATCCCAAACTTGCACATGTAATTTAAATACCCCAGGGTCATGCATTATTTCTTTAAAAAATGTCAATTTTTGGTGTTAATTTCATAATTTAAAATAATTTAGCATTCATGAAGATACAATTAACATTCTAATTTTCTAAACTTCCATTGTAAAGTAAATAATATTACCTCCACTATATGTAATTTTTAACTTTCTATTTTAAATTTTGTAATTAAAACCATACATTTATATTTTTGAAACAAATAATACATAACCATGTTGCTAAAATAACTTTTTATATAAAGTTTGAGATATTTAAATTAATTACATCTGAAAGTTTGGGGGGTTTATCTCACACCCCTTCAAAGTTTGAGGTATTTTAATTATTTTCCACTTAAAAAAATATAGGAAAAAGTATGAAAGGGGTATTTGTAGTTGGGCGTGCTTTCAGATATGAGCATGTGTTTCATTTTTTAACAAAGTTGTACCGTTCTTTTAATTATGTTATCACTGGAGGGGTCCAGCTCCTAAAAGTCACCGGAGGAAAGCGATAAGCAATAACTCCAAATCTCCAATTTTCAAAAATATCCGCCAAATTAAAAGAATAATATTAGGGGGTGTGCATCGACCGGCACGATCCAATCATCTTTGGTGCACCATCAACTATTCAGCTATCATGCGCCGACAATCCTGTAATATGCACCAGACATTGTCGATGGTTCTGAAAACGCTGAGCATATTCGCCAAAGGAATCGAAAGCAAAGGTGAGCGTGCTAAATTCCTCGACCCTTATGCATATGTTGTCGTCCTAATCTACATCATCCTCAATTCCTCCTTGCCATACCGCTCGGCTACATCCTGGCTCAAAAGAGCTTCGAGCTTTCTGTTCCCCTTCATGATCTTCTCATCTTCAATACTGTTGACTGTCTTAAGCGCCTGAACAAGCTAGCTAGGCATATACCCTAGCGAAAATGTCAGATCACTCCTCACTTGAGACCACTCCAACTCATATTTAGAAAAAACTCCACTAGTATTACTCCTCAAAAAGCAGTACATATTCGTGGTACTGGTGCATGGTGAGCACCATGCTCCCATGGTTATATGAAATGTAACTCGTGTGAATCCACATGTAACCTCAAGTTAATTAAAATGTAAATTGCACTCATTCATATGTAACTCGTTGAAATGTAAACTGCTTTCATTGAAATGTAACTTGGAAATTAATTAGATGTAACTTTAGGTTATTGAAATGTAAAACGCTTTTACAAATATGTAACTCGCGTATAAAAAGATGTAACTCACGCATAAAAAGATGTATCTCGCACATATAAAAATGTAAATCGTTCATAAGAAGATATAATTTTCTGATTTATCATATTTAAATAGAAATAAACAAGTCTTAAAAAAACTAAAAACATTTAATAAAAGAAATAAAGAAATACAAATATATAATAGAAATTAATATGTAATTGTGATCATACGTAGTATGTGTTGGCAGTGTTGCTCCACTTATAAGTTGTAAGATTAAAAGCTAGGTTAGTTTCTTTCTCATCTCTCTGCATTTATATTATTTTGGATGGATAAATTTTTTCGGAACGCAAAGAGAAATCTTGTTGTGGAAACATAACGTGATTTGAACATAGAGTCAGCCAAGCACGATCTCAATTCTTTGTAATTAAGGGAGTGTTTGCAACCGCTTCTGCTAAAAAAAAACACTTTTGGAGATGTAATGAAAAAGTGATTAGTAGTAAAAGTTGACAGTGTTTGAGAAAAAAAGTGATTTTGAAAAGTAAAAGTTGGTAGTGTTTGGTAAAATAAGTGCTTTTTGTGTAATAGAAAAAGGAAAAACACTTTTCACACGCAAGCCGAGGAAAAGTAAAAATTGGTATTGTTTGGTAAATAAGTGTTTTTTAAGCCAAAAGTTGAGAAGTGCCTTTTTTAAGCTGTTGCAAACACTCCCTAAGAGTCGTCGACAATCGAGGATGAAGTAGGGTGTGCATACGTGGGAATGGCCGGACAGGGATGGAGAAACAACGATGATGGCAGTCATTGACAGACTTGCGGAGAAGATTACAGAGCAGCGCACTGACTTGTTTTTATTAATGTAAACGGTGTCGTATCAGACCCGGCATACCATGCACATGGTATGTTGGTTGCATGGTATAATTTGCCCTCAAAAAGTGGTCAATAAAATGTGATTTAGTATCTTTCTGTGACTGACTGTGTTCAAAAGGTTAACATCAATCGTAGTGACTACATTTCCACTAAAGTGCATTTTTTTCATGTGATTTTTTATTAGTAATATTTTAGAATCTGCGAGCAAAGAAGACACACAATGCTTGGAATTCGTGGGAGGATTAACCCAAGAACAAGATATGGTAAATCTAAAGTGAAATGTTACAATTCTCACAAGTTTGGCCTTGTTCCTAAGCTCCCAGTGAAGATATTTCAAAAAAGAAGAATTGAAGATATAGTGAACTTTATGGAGATACGAAGTACTGTATATGATATTATGACCCAACTTTATGGAGATAGATATGATCTTGAAGATTGCAATTTATTTTTGGTGACAACTCCGGTACTTTTTAAAAAATGGGGTATCGTACCTACTATTCATTTGATTGGACCACATCACTTTATCATTTTTAATTTAGATTTAAATAATTGCGCGTCTAGGGTTTGGAAATCTATTTCTATTTTTGTTTTAGTTTGTTTGTGTTTTTACTTCGATATTCATGTTGTTTTGGTTGTTCTGTACATTTATTTTTTGTCAGACTCTTAAATTAGGTGAGGGTGATGAGAGTATTGCTCTGGCCATGTTAGGCTCATTTAGACCCACTACAGGATCGGGAAATCATATTGCTCTATCTAGGGTGATTGTTTCTCCATGTCGGTGGCTGGAAGTGTTTCCTTTATCTCTTGTGTCCCTTGCTGAATGTTTTATTATCAATATAAGTCTCCTTGTTACGAAAAAAAGTATGGTACCTTATGGGTACCATATAATCTACCTTTATTTTTAGCATATATAGTAGAAAACAGATTTAAGATAACACTTGGTAGCTCGACATTGTTGCAAGCAATCATATGCATGAAAAAGAAGTACTTTGTGGAGCTCGATGCATCGATAAGTGATAATGTAGATACAAAAATGATGTTTGTACCCACTCGTATACCCACTTTTGTATCCACTTTTGTATACAAAAAACACTTCACAAACATGGTGGGTATAAGGTGGGTACATCAAGCATTGTTGATGTAGATAATGGTATAGACTCACTACACTATAAATGGCTTAAGGCAACACTTCAAAAATGTTGCATTACACCCTAATGTGTTGCTTTAGGAATCTAAGGCAACACTTTTCCAATTTTAGAAGTGTTGAAATTTTGGCCGTTGCCATAGATGCCTATAGCAACAAACAAAAATGTGTTGCAACTATTTTAGCTAAGGCAACATCATTCTTCACAATAAGTAAGGCAACACATTTAAGGGCAAATACACTACTTTGGTATTGCAACACTTGGAGCAACATTTTGCCCTAAAATTGTGATGCTTTTGTTATGATTTTAAAACCATGTTTTTGACACATATGGAAACATATTTGAATATCTCATAAACCATTTTTAAATTTTTTGAATTGCAACATTATTAATTACAACTACTACAATTCTCATTGATAATTTAATTAGAATACCTCATTGATCATATATATGGTGGAAATTTAGAGCATACATTTCCAGTTTAGCAAACAAGAACTCAAAAAAATATGATATGAAAAAGTAGTACTTATGAATTTAATATATTTAATTGATTAAAGTATGATTCATACATTCATACTTATCACAGCAATTACAACCCAAAAATTTCAAAAACATCATAAGTTTAAAAGCAAAACACTTCTTCACGTTCTTGCATCCAAAATGGGAATTAGGCTCCATAACTACTTAGGAACAAAAAGCAAATACCATGAGCACCTGAAAAAAATAACAAGTATATCAAACACCAAATCAGTTATATGTAGTACGAAATTGAATGACGAAGATCAATCCAATTGCTACCATTCTCTGTGTTTATATAGGATATTAAGTTTCTACTTTCAACAAAAAATGAGTAAAGAAATGTTAACTATAAATCTCAAAGCATGGTTAGAAAGTAAAAAAGAACAAACACGCAAAAATAAATTACTCTATTGATTCGATATCAATTAAATTGACAAATTAATTTAATTTCTTACAAGAGACTAACCTTGATCATATTTAAATCTTTAATCTCCCTTAGATGTTTCAGCCTCATTAGAATCAGAAGAATTGGAATCATCTTGAAGTTGATCACTGGAAACATCAAATGGCATTGCAACAAAAAGCTCCTCAACATTGACTTTCAATTTTGGATTGTCTGCTGCCAATTTAGTTATAGCAAAAGCTAAGCAATGCTGAATTTTCTTATTCATTTCATCAACCATTTCATCTTTTAGTTTTGAAATGTTAGGAGGCGATTCCTTCCGTTTCTTTGATCTCCCACGCCTGCCTATAAGATAATTTGGTCCATGCGATATGTCTCCAATAAGTTGCTCAACCATCTCATTTTTTTCCGTCCCGGATGAAATGAGTTCTTCAAGCTGGGACTACACGTTAATGCATGAGTTGGTTATCACAATTCAAAAAACAGTCTATAATTAAATGACTAAGATATAAATTAACTCATCTTCATAAATTGCTCACAATTTTGTATTCTGTCACATCGTTCAATGAAGCGTACCGACGACCAGCCTTTCTCTTACGTGTTTCGATGAACACTTCTGCCTTACTTAGTTTCTCCTTGTTCGCTTTTTTAGATTTCTAATACAAAATAATGACAAAAGTTAAATCACTTTACCTTTATAATGATACTGGGAACTTCTTATATAATGATACTGGTCACATAAATCTGAATTTAATATAATACAAACACACCATTTTTTCGCGAACTTGGGCAAAACTGCGTGGTCCAACAGTGCGTGTATCCTTTACTTTCTTTCGATTGGAAGTGTTTTTCTCAGCTTTGTCCTAATAATAGAAGTTAGCAGCAAAGTATACACATTATATTTATTTTCCTAAACTTTGTGAAAAGGAAACATTGTGTATACCTGAACCTCTTTGCGTCCCCAGTATTGCACGACCAACTCAAATTCATCAATGGGTATCTCCTGAGGCCTATTTTTCATTCTCTCGCCATTAGTAGAGAACTTTTTATAATAATTCTTTTAAATCCGAGCTTTGTAACACCTCCATGTATCATTAATGGTCTTCAATACCCAAGTTTTTCCCTCACCAGATATTGTGTATTTTTCCTGAAGCAAACATTACATTTTAAGCAATATACACATAGTTTTTTAACCCACACATGTCTAAAAGGTTTAATGCTTTCTTTAACAAAAATTATTACCTGGACATATGTCCACAAGGCTTCTTTATGAGGATATGCATGCCAATTGACACAACAAAGAGGCACACATTGTCTTGCTAAAGTTCCCAAGAAATTACTGAATTCTGAAATTGTCTTATCATCATTTGCCACCGGTTGATCGAACTCATTCAAGTCAATCACTTTCTTTTCTTCTTCATATCTTGTATGAACAGAAAACATTCTCGTTGGTCCTCTACATTTTTTCTCTGTCACATGGATACTTAAAATCAAAATATAGCAATGCGTGCTTGAAACACATACACTGTGACATAACTGAAATAATATGTTACCTCGCTGATTTTCATGAGTACTTTTCTTAGGTGCTTCTTGTTCCATTTCAGCATTGTCATGTTGAACCACTGCATCCTGCATCTCGATTGAATCTCCCTCATTTCTGACTTCAATCATTTGCCTTTTCTTCTTCAAAGCTAGATATGCAGACATAGATCCTATATCTCCATTTCTTAATTCATTATGGTCTTTTAAGGGCTCTTTACGAGTGCACTTCTTCACTAGTTCAGTAATGATCTTTTGCAAAATAAGTCAGAAAAATATAAATTCTAAGAACCTATGCACCAGATTAATACAATCCATAGGTAAATCATGTTAAATTAGATAAAGAAAGAAATAAGAAATAACAAAAATATTGATTAATTTATACCAATCATAAAGATAATAACTTGAGAGCTGACTACAAATAGTACCTGTTTAGAAGTTGGTACTACACATTCATTTTCATCAAACAGTTGATGCACATTGGATCTGGAGCGTGTTTTTGGCCGAGATGTTTCCTTGGTCTTTTCCACCAAGGCCTGGATTACAAATAATTATTTTAGCTAAAGAATATAAAAACTACTATTGTTTCACATTTCCTACCTTCGTTTTCTGATGGCCTTCTTCTAGACTCCCTAGTTTTCTTTTCCTTTTCTTCTCTGGACCACGAGAATCCAATTCTACAGATAACTTACTCAACCCAAGTGCAGTCAAGCGTTCATTGTTAGCTTCAATGTTTTCCGACCTGATCTGTTCATATGATCTTGCCTTCAATGGACTCATATCATCCTTACCAAAATGTGAATCCTGAGCATTTAAATGATTGAAAAACATAAGAAAAATACTAACTGAAGTTTAGTTTTTTGGTAATTATATAAATAAATGAACTCACGCGTCCACCAACATGTTTGACACCCAACTTGTCATTTGCCTTCATTTTGCTCTTTTCTGCGATGCATTTTTTTTCTTTTGCTTTTTCATGATGTTCTTGAGCAGACTTTAGCATGAAAACATTTCTCTTTGGTGGATTATTTGATCCTATAAACAAATAATGTCATTCTTAAAATCATGTTAATAATAACAAGTATAAAATTAAAAATGAGGAATTCAGTATATGTACCTGTTAAGACGCACTTTCTTGGCCTTACAATAACATGTGGTTGATTCTGATCCATTGGAGGGATTTCCTCATCAGCTACATTGTCGATCCAAAAATCAATAACATCATCTTTTTCATGCGCAAGCACATAATTTATAACATCATTGTCATTTGTGAGCAACTTCCATCCTAATTTGTTGGCATTGGGAACATAAACACCTCCAATTTCTTCAAAAGAACAATCTTCTTTCACATATTCCATCAAGACAGCATATGAAAATCTCTCCACATCTATTGCATCATTAATCTTCCTACAATATCCACTAGAGTATTTGGTCTTTAGAAATGTTCCGCCAGTGATGAAGTTCAAAGAAAACACTTTGTCTACCATTCTGCATTAAAATAAAAATATTTTAATGCAACAAACTAATATTCTATACACATTCCAAACCAATTCAAGCACAAGTTAAGTCTAGAGAGCACAAATAACATTAACAAATAATAAAGAATATATTAAACGCATATTAACAAAACATAGTTAGTAACATACTACCCAAAAAATCTTGCGTTACCAGCTCCTTTTTATAATGTCATTCTATCTCATTTATATCTTCCTTATCCGGGTGAGGTTTATCTAGCACATAATCAACCATTTCAATGGGAATCTCTATTCTTGGTACATCTTCTCTTTCCCAAATGCACTCCCATTGATTAATGGCGTCTCTATCATGTAATGGACGTTCAACAATATCCTCTTCACCTTCCTTGTTTGTATCTTCTATATCAAACAAGTTTCTTGGACAACTTTTCACTACATAGTGTAATCCCTTTTCAGTAGCATCTTCAATGTAAAAAACTTGTTGTACTTGTGTAGCTAACACAAAAGGGTCATTTTTATAACACAGTTTATTGAAATTAACTCGAAGAAGCGAATAATCATCCTTTTCTTCTTGGTACCAACAACACCTAAATAAAACAGCGGTATAATCAGCCCAATAATCAACTTCAATTATTTCTTCTATTGAACCATAATAACTTATATCTTCTGTCATTGGATTTTGATCTTTAGAACTTGCAAAACATGTGGTAAGGGCCTTTAAAAAAACACCACTGCTCTGAGTTGTGCGCATTTTATCTCTACTTATGGTATGAAATCTGTAACCATTTATTACATAACCACTAAACCTCTTTGCCACTCGATTTGGACCCTTTGCCAAGCTTAATAACTGCTTTGAAACATCACGATTTTGCATAACCACACTCTTCAACCACTTGTGAAATTCTTCACCATGTGCTCGAGCTCTTTTATACTTCTTTGCCTTCGCAAAGCTTTCAACTATTAACTTATGCTCCCTGCAATGTAAATTAAGTACAATAGTTATAAAGTAAAGTTATAATGTCAATAATAAAAACTCCGGGTGGAATCTACTAACCTCATTAACTTTTCAACTTCATCACTTCCACAGTTGAATAAAATGTATCGATGAGATTTGATGAACGTATCATCATCTAGATGAATTGCCTTTCCATTTTTGTTCCTCCCAAGACCCAAAGGATACCCATCCCGCTCAGATTTATTTGAGGAGCTATGACATTTTGTCTTCAGATTCTCACCCATGTATCTAGAGCAGAAAGTCAAACATTCATCAACCAAGTATGCTTCTGCTATAAAACCTTCTGGTTTACTTTTATTACGAACAAAAAACTTCAATTTTCCTAGAAATCTCTCAATAAAATACATCCATCTGGTATACACCGGTCCACCAAGCTCAACTTCTTTACACAAGTGAACAGACAAATGAATCATTATGTCAAAGAATGATGGTGGAAATATCATTTCAAGTTGGCAAATTGTCTCCACAATCACTTTTTGAAGCTTCTCTAGATCATTTGGATCAATAACTTTGTTACACAGACTCTTGAAGAATGAACCCAATTTCATCAAAGGCAAAGCAACCTCTTTTTTCAATGATTTCCTCATAGCAAATTGTAACAGATTTTGGAGGATAAAATGAGCATCATGGCTCTTGTATCCTGAAACTTTCCTCGCACTCATTTGAACACAACGACCAATATTTGAAGCAGTTCCATGTGGTAATTTGGAGTTCTGCAGCACAGAACAAAACAACTCTTTCTCGTTGTCATTCATATCAAATATAGCAGGTCTAATTTCGATGTATTTTCCATCAGTAGAATAAGTGGGATGCAACACCTTCCCAATCTCGATTTCTTGCAAATCAAAACGAGCATTAAAGTGATCTTTACTCTTCCCAGCAATATTCAACAAAGTCCCCAATATATTATCAAAAATATTCTTCTCAATATGCATGACGTCAAGATTATGGCGACACAAATTATATTTCCAATATGGCAACTCAAAGAAAATGGACTTCTTTCTCCATGGAATATTGGAATTTCTCTTAGTTTTTTTCGTTTGTTTTCCAAATGAATTCTTGAACCCAGTTAATAGGTCTTCAATATCTAATCCAGACAACTCATTTGGTCTATCTCCCACTTCAACATCACCATTGAATTTTCTTTTATCTAATCTCCATTCATGGTTGGCATCAAGAAACTTCCTGTGATTCATATAACACATTTTCTTGCTATGTTTCAAGTACATTGAGGAAGTCTCGTAATGGCATGCCGGACAGGCCAGATTTCCTTGCGTACTCCATCCAGATAACATTGAATAACCAAGAAAGTCACTAATTGTCCAAAGTATACTAGCCTGTAACAAAAACGTTTCATCATTCCGAGCATCATAAGTTTCTAACCCAACATTCCATAATTCTTTCAACTCTCTAATTAAAGGCTGCATATACACATCAATATTCTTCCCAGGAGAAGTAGGGCCGGGAATTAGTGTTGAAATGATTAAATTTTGTTCCTTAATGCTCAACCAAGGTGGTTGGTTATAATTCACTAACACAATCGGCCATGTGCTATGAGATATGCTAATTGTTTGAAAAGGATTAAACCCATCAGACGCTAAACCAAATCGAACATTGCGGGGTTCAAATGAAAACTGTGGATACCTAGCATCCATTGCCTTCCAAGCCTGACCATCCGCTGGATGTCTTAACTTCCCATCATCTTTTTGATCTCTTGCATGCCATATCATACTTTCAGAGAACTCCTTGCACATAAACATTCGTTGCAATCTTGGTTTGAGAGGAAAATACCTCATCACTTTTGCTGCTACTTTGGTGATCTTATTTTTAGTGTGATCATCTCTGCTAGCAGATTCACCTTCTGTTACTTTCCACCTCGATGCACCACAAGTTTTGCATGTATCTTCACTTTGATTTTCAGCCCAAAATAGCATGCAATCATTAGGACAAGCATGTATCTTTTCATATCCCAGTCCTAAATCTTTAATTACACTCTTAGCGGCATTAAAAGATGTAGGTACATTAGCAAAAGGAAAAGCATCCCTAATCACTCCTAAAAGATCGGAAAATGCAGCTTCTGTAACTCCATGTGTAGACTTGAAAAGGTAAAGCCTGACTATGAAACTTAACCTTGAAAACTTTTTACAACCTTCATACAATGGTTGTTTTCCCTCATCGAGAAGTTTATAAAACTTTTTAGCATCTGCATTTGGACCAGCCCTGAAACCATAATTATTTGTTTCATATGCGAAAGTGGCGTGCAACATCTCATTCAACCCATCATCAAACTCTTCATTCATTACATTTTCATGAAAACTTTCTTTAAAATCTTGCATACATGAAACGTCACGAGTCCAATTGAAGAAACTTGGAGAGCACCCATGGCAAATGAGATGATCGTATATGGTATCACGATTATGCCACTTACGATTGTTGCATCTTTTACATGGACACCTACATTGGCCTCCGGTGGAATAGCTTGAAAAGACATTTTTGATAAAATCTTTCACTCCATTAACATAAGTTTCGCTATACCTTGGTTGTTCCAACCAACTGTCATCATCCATTGTTAACTTCAAAGATTTAAAGTAACTTTAGTAAATAGTAAAGCAAAAAACTGCACAATTAATTAAAAAACTTTTAAATACAACTCAAGCACTGATCAGGGAAGTAAGCTCTACATATGTACCCTATAACAGACATACATAGAATTTAGAAAGTGAGCAGTGAATTAAGAGTTAACTGAAATTTATAAGCTACACTTATATGGTAAATATATGTCTTACTTAATTTTAAAGATATTGATTTACTTATTATTCATAGATGGGTGACTTCAATTAATTATTGTAATTATAAATTTGCTAAGGACTAATCAGATACTAATTATAGCCCATACACTTAGGTGATGAGTTCGTATACATAATTGAAGAAATGTATTGCTTTTTTTTTTAATTCAGGGAGTGTAGTAGTATATCTGAAGAGAAATCTCTTGCCGGACAGGACTGTGGTCCGACCACCTCAATTTGAGGTGGTTTCCGGTTGTATTTTTAGCTGAATTTGTTTTTTATATTCTTCATCAAGTCTAGTTCATCCATACCAAATTTGAGAAAAAAATTCAATCGAGAAGGACGTCAAATGATTTTTGAAAGATAACTGCATTTTATATGTATCTTCCGGCGCAGACTCGCAGTTACCTTTCGTAAATCATTTGACGACCTTCCCAATTGATTTTTTTTTTTGCTCAAATTGGGTATGGATGAACTAGACTTAATGAAGAACATACACAAAAAATGAAGCAAAAAACACAATGTCTACCATAAATTCCGTCGAGGTCTCCTTAAGAGTATCCATATTCTATAGTACTATAGAATATGGATACTCTTAAGGAGACCTCGACGGAATTTATGGTAGACATTGTGTTTTACTTTTATTGGCATCATCCTAACCATTAATTAAGGGATAATTTAGTATAATTAGTAATGAGATCCCTCCTTAATTGAGAAGTTCTAGAATAATATGGAGATGCGTGTCTATAATTCTCTTGCGTGAAGACGACTAGTCCACGAGAGTTCAATGAACTCGTGTAACATCCCAAAATCTGGTCTAGCTGATTTGATATAAAATTTCTACGTCTAAAGGTAAAAAAAAATATACTCGAAGTTTTAAATAAATGAAAAGCCGTTTTTTTTATAAGGTGAGAACTCTGGTACCCATTTAAAAAATGGGGTACCGTACCTACCATGCATTTGATTGGTCCAAATCATTATATGCTTTTTAATTTAGATTTAAATAATTCAACTGCATCATTCTTATTGGTCCATTTGGACAAAGGTACGGTACATTTGGGGTACTGTAGAATTTACCTTTTTATAAACGGTTCAATAGTTATCAAATAC